AATTTATTTTTAGGGTTAGAAAAATTAAAATTTATAAAGAATGTATTGAGACCAATAAAGTGATAACATGTGGCCTAATATGTGATGAATAAGTTGGGAAAAAACATTGTATGGAACAAAATGGAGGATACAGAAAAGTTTTTTTTTAGTCCCCGTAAAGTCAAAGTGACTCAACAACCCTATTTTCCCATTATTCATTTCACCTTCGAAGAAGATGCAATAACAAATATATACAGACGTTATCAAAAAAAAATATATACAAACAGACTAGAAACACTCTATTATTAAAAAGAGAAAAGTAATCGAGTTAAAAGATTAAAATAATTGAGGGAACGTGGATGCCACGGGTCCTTCTTTATTTTATTTCCCAACTTGCTATTGTTGTTAATACTAAGAATAATGTGTCTCTAAATCAATCTCAAAGAATAATGTGAACTTCTAAGAAAAGTAATTGAATAATAGATTAAAATAATTGAGGGAACGTGGTTGCCACGAGTCCTCATATATTTTATTCCCAACTAGCTCAATTTGACTATTTCTAGACTCTAGTGCCACCTGTGTTAAGCAAACATTTTCTGGACCATTACCATTCCATGTTCCGCCCCCTGTTTATTTCATATTTTTATTTTATTTTTTTCTATTAATGTTACTAATTAAAACTTGAAAACAAATAAGACATAATACAAGGATAGGTTACATGATTTAGTAAATTTGACATAAAGTGAAGCATAAAAATGGAGGTAAGTGATTCCATCCGTTATACAAAGTATATAGTTTCCATATTTATCAACTTAATCTTGAAACAAAAGGAGATAAGATTTTTTTTTCGGGTGAATAAAGGAGATAAGATTTACAACATATATATATAGGGTTATTCTTTTATCACGTAACTAATATATTATCATGACCATCAAGTCAATATTTTCATCAATCAGATCATCTGATCCATTGGTAGAGTATTGAATTCCTAGTTTCTAGTTTCAATGATTATGATTCATATTTTGACAATTTCAAATATTTTTTGGTAAATCACAAATTTAATCACTTAATTTAAGGTGAGTTTCTGTTTTAATCATCAAACTATGAAAAATAACAATTTGATCATTTATAAGTTTGCAAAATTAAATATTTTGGTCACTCTACTCTTTCTCCGCTTGTGTGGTACATACATATCATCCATCATGTAGTGTAGCATGATGATATGACATGTCATCATTTAAAATAGTATCACCTGATATGATGGTATGGAAATGTCATCAAACGTATGCCACGTGAAATAGCCAAATGATCATCACGTTATTTGATTGAGTAACTAAAATATTCAATATTATAAATATAAGTGATCAAAACGTTACTTCCTCTGTCCCTAATTATAAATCCCTTTTTGTTCAACCAAACCAAACTTTGACTATTGTTTATAAAATATATATATATATAATTTAATTTTTAAAAAAATAGAAACTTACCCTTTATAGTTAATTAGGTTACCAAAATAGAAACTTGGCTAAATTTAAGTGACCATCTATGTAATTTACTCTTTATTTTTTATATATAAAAAAGATAATCTTAACATTTTTATTTTTCAACCCAAATGAAGAAACGGTCTTCTATTTTTTATTTTGTTTTTGGTTTAATCAATATGGTATCTCTAGTCTTCTTTTTTTGTCTTAGACCATGGTTTTCTGCATGACTAACTCATTTTGGGATATTGCCAAAAAAAAAACTCATTTTGGGTTGACAGCGTATGAAAGATTAATGCCTTTCCAACAAATGTACTCTCCCATAATTAAATTTGTGTTATCGCAGCTAATTAATGAAGCAGAAGCCACATATATACCATCCCAAGTCCCAACTAATTACTTTGCGGTTGGTATTCTAAATTTTTTGAATGTTTTGTTAACTACTAGTAAAAAGGAAAAAAAAAGTTATATTAAATTTTGGTGTTGATTTTTTAATTAATCAATTAATTAGTACTATATGGTTTCTACTGTCCAGGAAGAGAACAGAGAGCAAATTCCAAGTGCTATACCTTACCTAGCTAATCATTTCACTTTCACAAATTTATATTCACTAGTGGCGTAAGAAACCACGGTCGACTTTCCAACCATAGTTAATTTAACAGGCATTGTTTACCCCAGCTTGTACTACAAATATGTAGAATAGGAGATCATTCCATAAACCAAGAAAGAAGAAAATTAGAAGAAGCAAAAAAAGAGGAAGAAAAAAAGAATGAAGCTATCTTCCATTTCCTTCATCTTCTTCTTAGCCTTGCAGGGTTTCTCATCAACTTTGGTGGTGAATTCACAACAAACAGATTCCTGCAGCTCCAACCTAAACCTTAACGTTCCCTTTGATACAACTTCTCTCCACTGCCTCTCTGTTTGGAACAAATATGATTTCATCCTCAGAGTAATAACTCCTTCCTCTCACTCTCTCCTTTTTTTTTTTTTTTTAACTTAATTTATCTCAAGTTCGAATCTTAAGAAAAATAAGCTATTATATGTTACAATATTTTCTACATGCATGTTAACAAAAAAAAAAAAATTGTATGCAGTATGTTGAGACATCATCAAAAGTATGGAGTTTTGTTCTGTCGGCGCCTGTTACAAATTCGTACGTAGCAATAGGGTTTTCAAGTAATGGAAAAATGGTGAAATCAAGCTGTATGGTGGGGTGGATCTCAGGAGATGGCAGTCCAACTATGAAGCAGTATTATCTTGGAGGGACCAAAACAAATCAGGTGATTGCTGACCAAGGCAACTTAATGATTGTGGCCAATTCTTCGTCCATCACAGCCAAATCGTCGCGTATATACTTGGCGTTCCAGTTGAATACGACTCAACCCTCGCAACACTTGATATATGCCGTTGGAAAGATTGGGGCGATTGCTTCTGCCCCAGATTATACCTTGGCTGACCACCGTGCCAAAGTCTCCACCTTGTTGAGTTATTCTACAGGTAAAGCCAACTTTCTCTCTCAATTTGGAATAATTTATTTGAAATTCTGCTTCTTCATTTGATGGTAAAAGACTTAGACTGCTCTGCGCTGCCGACCATGATGATGAAAGCATACCTTATATGGGTCCATGGACTTTATTCCTATTTAATTCCTAGTTTTTTATTAGTATTTTTTCCCTTTAAACTTCGAGGAAATTTTAATTTCCCCTTAATTAATTATAATTTAAGATAAAGTAATTATAAACTTTTAGAATTTGAGACACATCACCTCGCTTAATGCAGAAGTAACTTTACTCATTAAAATAAGCTATAGAAAATATATATAGCATATATATATTATAGAGGAATTATTTGGATTGATTAATTATGGAACCCAACAGGTACAATTGCATCAAAAACCCCAAATTCAAAATTAAGGAAGACCCATGGAATACTAACCATGCTGAGTTGGGGAATATTGATGATAATTGGAGCAATAGTTGCTCGTTACATGAAGCAATGGGATCCACTTTGGTTTTATTCCCACGCTGTGTTTCAGTCCTGTGCCTTCATACTGGGGATATTTGGTATGCTTTCTGGATTTGTTTTAGAAGATCGTCTCAACACCGAAGTCTCCACCCACAAAGCTCTTGGGATCTTCATTATTGCGCTTGCATCCCTCCAGGTTTGCCCCTCTCTCTTTTCAATGTCCTTCTACGTTTTTTTCTACCGGGAAACATTTCAAAATACTTTCTTTTTGGTACTTAGGGTTATTAGAGATCGATTTCTAGTCACTGGAATGTCTAATGACCATCTCAAAACACCTCAAATTTATCTGCCAAATTAAAATGTGTTATAACATAGATACACTTGGTTATCTCCTATGGGCTCTATTTCACCTTGCTCATTGGATAGATGGTTATATTATGGGATAAGGAGTTAAATACATCAGGCATCCATGCGAACATATACGTTTTTATGTTCAACCTTCTACTATACAATCTACTATCATTGGTCACTACCAGTACCAAGTCAAGAGTTCAAGTTCAACCTTCTTTAATTCTTATTAGTAGTTTTGATGTTTGGACTTGACATTAACAATCTAGGATTAGTTTGTCTTTATATACAAAAGATAATGGGTCATTGCCAATTGGAAGATCGAACTTAAACATAAGTTTTTGTTTTTGGTATTTGAGATCGCTCATAGTAGAACCACAATTACTAGAATTAAAAGTACAACGCGTGCAGGTTGTTATTTAATTAATAAGAGCAAGACAACTTATATATAAACATTTAAAGATGACACTGATAGTAGATTGTATATATATAATTGAAATTTGATGACCATATCACTTTTAAAAGTTATTGCCAATTTTGTTTTATAGGTAACGGCACTATTTGTAAGGCCAGGCAAGGAATCAAAGGTGCGTAAATACTGGAATTGGTACCATCACACAGCGGGGAGACTTTTGATAGTACTTGCAATAGCAAATGTGTTCTATGGGATTCATTTGGGAGAAGAAGGAAATGGGTGGAATGTTGGGTATGGGGTTGTTATTGCTATCTTAATTTTAGTTTCATCTGTTTTAGAGCTTAGGATGTGGAAGAGAAAATAATTAGCAATTTCGGATCTTTCCCTTGAGAGGTCCACTTTTTTTTTTCTTTTTTTTGAGGTATTGTTTTTTCCTTTGGCCATCTCTTTTTTTTTTTTTTTGCCTTTTTTGAGGTATTCGAGAGGTACAATTTTTAATTAGTTTTATTATTATTATTAATGTATTTTATTAGAAACCAGTTTATTATTAATGTATTATTAATGTAGTTTTATTATTATTATTATTATTATTATTATTATTATTATTATATTAATGTAGTAGTAATTTTGTTTTCTTTCCATCTTTGTCTCTTCTAAACAGTAAATTTTTGTAAAAATTAAATCATTAGTATTGGGCCTTCTTATGGGGCTCTCAAATTTTGATGATAGTGGGTCACCACCATTCGGGTAAAGCCTTCTCCAACCAAATGTTTGGATATCTTTTTCTTGAGTCAATGAGCAATTCATTGTATTCAATGATCTGGATTACAAACGGGTAGAGGGTTATCTCCACACCAAGTCACATAAGCTCCAACTTCACGGACTATCCTAGCCAAGTTGTGAGCAAACATGTTTGCACATCTATTTACATGTTGACAAGAACATAAATTAAAAGAAGAGCCTAACATCCTAATTTGTTGTATTAATACACCCCCCTCCCAAAGGACAGGAGCTACATTATTAATCTCCCTTACAGCTAGCATAGAATCACATTCCAATTCACAAGATTGTAGACCCAACAATCGAGCTATAATCAAGCCAAATCTCACTGCATACACCTCTGCAAACAACGGATCCGGAACCTTATTAATCCTAGCTGTTGCAGAAATTAGGACTGATCCCTGTGAGTCTCTAACTACAGCTCCCAAGCCTGCCTCCCCCGAGCTCAAATCAAAAGATGCATCGGTATTTATTTTAAATTGAGCTACAATGGGCGGTGACCAGCGTTGAACACACTCACTTTGTCGGATTCTATCATGTTGCTGCTGTAACTTCACCACCTTTGCTACTCGTATTCTAGCTGCTGCACAAATCGAACCAGGCATCTTGCACACAAACTCATGTAAAGATTTGTTCCTGTTATGCCATATTGACCATAACAAATAAGTCACTAGCTCTAATGACCCTAACAGGGAAGCCTTATTCAACACACAGTCCCAAAAATCTGCCTCCTCCAACCATCCCTGCAAATATTCCTTAATCCATGGACACGCAAGGTCCCATACTTTACTACTGAAGGGGCAATTGAAAAACATATGGAGCAACGATGATTCAATTCCATTACACATTGGACAAGAATCATCAATTGGTATCCCACGTCATTGCAAATTCAGTTTTGTGGGAAGAATATTATGCCTTACCCGCCATAAAAAGAACTTCACTTTCGGTTGAATAGTGGCACCCCATATTCGACGCCAAATAGCTTGTCTATCCTCCACAACAGGAGACTCCTTACCTAACAAGTTTCTCGCAACATAGTAGCCAGACTTTACCGTATAATGCCCATTAGTTGTCCCATGCTAAATGAGTGTGTCACACGAATCCCAAACGGACAAAGGAATGCATAAAACCCTTTTCACATCAGGCTCCTCAAATAATTCATGTAAAAGATCTATATCCCACTGGCCATTATCCATCAATGAACTGACTTTAATTGGCTGACACGCCACTCCAGTTCTTGCCTGTGGTCTTAAGTTTATAGCTTTATTTAGCCAATTATCAGTCCAAACTTCTATCGAAGAACCATTTCCAACCCTCCACCGAGAGCCCAACTTTATAACATCTCGCCCAGCAAGCAAGCTACGCCAAAGAAAAGATGGATTTGCACCCAATGTGGCTGACATAAATGTTCTGTCCCTAAAATACTTTGCCTTCAACAACCGTGAGCACAAAGAGTTCTCATTATGTATAATTCGACAGCATTGCTTAGCTAACAAAGCCAGATTAAATGCTTTGAAATCACGAAAACCCAACCCTCCATCAAGCTTGGAAACACATAAATCTGCCCAGTTCTTCCAATGGATCTTCCTCCGAGTCTCATCACCCCCCCACCAAAATCTAGCAATCATCTGATTCAGCTCATGTAGAAATGTCTTCGGAAACTTGAAGCAGCTCATAAGATAAGTGGGAACAGCTTGTGCTACAGCTTGAATTAAGACCGCACGTCCAGCAATAGATAACAATTTGCAACTCCATCCCTTTAGACGTTTCCAAAGTCTGTCTTTAATCACTTTTAACTATGCCCGTTTTGACCTTCCAATCATTATAGGCATCCCCAAGTACTTATCTTTTGCCAAAATCTTCTACACCCCTAATCTCTGCATTATCAAGACTCGAGTTTGATCTAGAACATTCTGACTAAATAGTATAGCTGATTTATCCACATTTATCAACTGACCGGATGCTTCCTCAAACACCTTCAGAACGTCTAAGACATTATCGCATTCCATTAAAGTGGCTCTCAAGAACAAAAGGCAATCATCCGCAAAAAATAAATGTGACACTCTCGGCGCACCCCTTGTGATTGCAATACCCCCAATTGCCCCTGAACGTTCTGCATTTAGTAGTAAACTGGACAAGCCTTCCATACAGAGAAGGAACAAATAGGGAGAGAGAGGATCCCCTTGTCTAATCCCTCGAGTTGGCTTAAACTTCTCCGAATAAGTACCATTGATCAGAAACGAATATGATACTGTTGTCACACAATTCATAACCATCAAAATCCATTTTTCAGAAAACCCAATCTGCCTCATCATAGACTCCAAAAACTCTCATTCAACTCTATCATAGGCCTTATTCAAGTCCTATTTCAGTGCCATATAGCCCTCCACTCCACTCCTTTTATTCTTCAAATAATGCACCGTTTCAAAGGCCACCATTGCACTATCAAAGATCATCCTTCCCGGTACAAATGCGTTTTGTGTTGGACTAATTATTTGAGGTAATATTGCTTTCAGCCTATTTGCTAGTGCTTTTGAAATTATCTTGAAAACTACATTGCAGAGACTTATGGGACGAAAGTCCTTTACAGAGATTGGATTATCCGTCTTTGGAATAAGAATAACATGGGCATGATTTATATCAAGTAACGGGACACCCAAATTAAGAAAAGAAAGAGCCATATCACATACCTTGTCGCCCACAATATGCCAAAAACGTTGAAAGAATAAGGGAGACATGTCATCCAGCCCTGCGGCTTTATCTGGGTCCATAGCAAATGCTGCTTGCTTAATTTCTTCTTTTGTAAAATCCCTGTCCAACACCAAGCACATATCTGAGTCTATTCTCCTATCCAAAAGGCCTGTGACTGCATGTATTCTTGTCACATCCGGTGAAGAAGTGGAAAAAAGGCTTCGAAAATACTCTACAAACAATCCTTCTACCACCATCCGATCACTTTGCCAAGTCCCATCCTCCCCCTGGATTGCAACAATCAAATTTTTCCTTTTCCTACATGAAGCAATCGAATGAAAGAAACTTGAATTTCGATCGCCATCTTTAAGCCACAATACCTTCGATCTCTATCTCCATATTATCTCCTTCTGTTCATGTAAAATATTTAGTTCATCCAACCAATCTTGTATAACCAGAGGATTATCTTGCTGTTGTATTTCCCCATAAAGCTTCTCTAACTCCCTCTTTTTATAATTAATTTTATGTTTAACATTCCCAAAAACACTCTTGTCCCAGAATTGTAAAGCTCTCCCACAAGCTTCGATATATTGCTTGACATCTAACATCAGATTCTGATTCCAAGACTCCTTAATCAACTCCTCCAGGCCATCATGTTTGATCCACATGTGTTCAAAGCGAAAATTCTTTCTCGATCGAAAGTCCATTGGGACTTTATCCAAAACAGTAATCAACAGCGGCAGATGATCCGATCCTGGGTGAATCATCGTTTGAACATGGGAAAACATAAAACGATCAGACCAAGAAATTGTAGCATAAGCCCGATCCAATTTTTCGAAAACTACTTCCCCAGCAAACCTGCGAGACCAAGTAAAAGTCGGTCCCTTTGTTGGACATTCATTAAAACAACACTCATCAATCACCTCTCGGAAGTCGTTCATTTGCCTTTGCGATCTCATTCTTCCCCCAAGCTTTTCATCATTCGATAAAATCTCATTGAAGTCGTCAGCGCAAAGCCAAGGTAAATTCGATTGCGTTGCAAGTAATCGCAACAAAGCCCATGATTCATGTCTCTTATTAGTTTCTGGACGGCCATAAAACCCAGTAAAGCGCCATTTTTCACTATCTACATTACCCACAGTTATATCAATGTGCAAGTTTGAGTAAGACACAATGGAAACGGCAATTTCATTATTCCACAACATAGCTAATCCACCAGATCTACCAACACTTCCTACACTAAAACAACAATCGTAACCAATTCGACAACGAATCCACTCCATTTCTGAAGCAGAACGTTTAGTCTCAGAAAGAAAAATGATACTAGGCCTATTATTACAATGAATTAAATTGCAAAGGGAAAACACTGCCTGAGAGCCTCCAAGGCCTTGGTAGTTCCAAGCGATGAGATTCATTGTTCCCAGTGGGGATGGTTCTCCTCCATCCCGGCCGATTTAGGTTTCTGATTGATACTCGTATCACCCGAAGCCCCATTATTAGTCGCATGGGTTGGCCTAGCCACAGGTCCCAAGTCACGATAAATAGCAGCGCCAAATTCATCTTCTTCTTGATCATCTTGCTCCATGGCCCGTTCCTTAGATCTCTTATTGGCTCCAATATTGAGAAACTCATAATTTGGAATCCCCGGATTACGCTTTTGCCCAACTCTTTGATCAACATTCGCAGCAGGTCCCAACACATCGAACAAATACTTTGATGTGACACGAGCCGTTTTCTTCCACTTTCTATGCCTCCTAACTGGTGGTGGTGTTGTCGCTCCAAAAACAAACGTTGGTGGTGAGTTAGAACCTGCTTGAAGAGGTATAAAATCCTCTGCACGTTGATCTAGCCCCTTGTGTTGTAGACTATCTTGGGCCACATGTTGTTGTTGCTGTGCATCTTGGGCTGGTCCTGATTGAGCAGGCCCAACTCCCGGAATGGACTGACCCCCTTCCACATTATTTGGACCTTGGAAAACCTCTTGGAAAAACCCTCCCCCATTTGGTGAAGATTCCCCTATACCCTCCATAAGAGGCGAAATCCCAGCAACTTCTTTTTCCTTCCCACGCCAATTTCGCATTGCTGCAAAAGAAGCAGCCATGAATTTCATACCTTGCTCCTGTTGTGGAATTGATGAAGAACCCACGATACCCACTTTGCTCCTATTAAGCTGGCCTTCCACGTTCCCTAATCCCCCCTGAATTTGCGGCACGAACCTGCCTCCAGACCTAGAAATCGCTTCATCATTAGCAGCCCTTACGCTCCTCCCACGCGCCGCCTGCTGCTGCCGGAGAAGTTGATTATCAACATGGTTTCGAAGTGCTCTTGGTTGACTACTCCCTGAAACAGAACTTACTGGAGCCTGATTAAACCCACCCCTGTTCCCCACGACCGGATTTAAGATCCCCAGTCGAGAGTGAGCCAACAAACCCGATTGTCGAGGCTTCACATCAGGAATTTCTGCCCTTATGCTATTATCGTACTGCTTATCCATGACGCCTTGTGTTTTAAGCATCGTTACTCCCACCGGGCAATCATTATCCAAGTGAGTCAGTAGTCCACACACCCTGCAAAAAGCAGGCAATTTTTCATATTTAAAACGCACAAGAACCTCACCCTGAGAAGTAGTAGCTGTTGTTGTCTTCTTTAAAGGAGTGGAGAGATTCAGCACCACCCGGACCCTCAAGAACCTTCCATTAGTGTCATCAACCTCAAGCACTGGTCCCATCGTTTCACCCACCGATACTCCAATCCGCATATTCATCAACATAATTGGTAGATCAAACATCCGCATCCAATATTGACATTGATCAAAAACTACTTCATTTGGATCTTGGATGCCATCAAAGTCTTTGAGCACGAGCAACGCCCGATTGAAGCACCACGGTTGCGACACCAAGACTCTGTCCCGTTCTATCTCATCCTCGAAATGAAAAATAAACAGATTATCACCAGCTTCTTTGATCATGAATGCACCCTCTACCCGCCACGCCACTACCATTGCTGTTCAGAGACCATCGACATTAGCCTTTCGTTTTGAGAATAAGCAGCCAATTAAGTGGAACCATGCCAAGTCCCCTTCGCTCCCACCAAGCCAATCTTGATCCTGCACTACCATCTCGCCTCTCCCCTCGCTCTGAATTGAAAGTCTGGAACACATATTGGACAATGCTCCGTCCATGGAAATCACCAAACTTATAGTTGTTTTGAACAATAAAAATGCAAACAGATAACCAAAAAAGAATGCTCTCCACCACATCCATCCGCCTGATATTTGTAGTGGAACCAAAAGAATCTCGTTGGACTGAAAATATGGAAACAACTTTTTGAATTCAAAAAAGTAATCGTTAGTTAAATATGAGATAAGAGCCAAAGATTTACAAGAATCCTTAAGATTTTCAATGGAATCCACCGAATCCAAGGAAGCAAATTTGTACCAAGACAAGGGCAAATCTCTACCGGAACCAAAACAGAGAGAGGAGACAGGCAAGGGCGAAAGAGAAAACATTTTTTAATGTTTGGATATCTACACATAAGAGATTTTGTTATTATTCCGGATTTTTTTTTGTTTGTTTCTAGTAAAATTTTAGGATTTTAACCCTATTCATCGAAATTAAGAATCTATATCCTACCTCCTCAAAAAAAATCTATCCATCTACCAACATGAAATGCAATGGTTTAAAATTTGAATTTAATTGAATAATTTTATATTTTTTACGGAATTATATTAAAATATTAATATAAATTAAATATTTGTTCATTGTTTATATTTACATTTAATTTTTTTGAGTGATATATTTACATTTAAAACAAGCATATAAATAAACATTACTAGTATTTTTCTTAATATGTATAGTTCATTTCGTTTTTGATAGTTAAGGGTGTTAAGAATTAAACCCAAATTGAAAATTTGAAATTAAGAATGCTCTATATCTTCAAAGCTTGATAAGGATTTTATGAAGTAATTGATCGGAACCCGTTCAACAGCGGCTGGCACACCTTTAGTCGGAATATAAATTGACCACTAGCTTTATGGTACGATTTTACAACTCATTATGGCATATTTAACCAAATAAACTTGGAAAGACTATTAATGATCCATTTATTAATTTAATCTGATTTGGCAAGGCAAGCTCAGGCAAGGTTCATATATGCAAACACACCCAAGAAAATTTAAAATTTAGGTAAAAAATATTTCCAAAGATTCTATAATTTGGAAATTTTGCAGGTAACAAAAGATAAGATAGAATTTTTTTTCAGATTATTTTTGACCTAGTAGCTTCTAGCTCTAGTCAGCAAATAAAAGTTTGACAAGAGAAATTATTTGGTGAATTTCTTTCGCTACATTCATAATTTCAACTGATAGTATTATGTTTTAGCAAATTACTAAGTCTGCATAAAATAGATGTCTTAAGTTTTGGAACATAATTTGAAATTCTTAATTTTGGGTTAAACTTGAGAGTTGAGACTAAATTTATGGTTAAATTTCAGTAAATATTTTGATGAATCGATACAGAGTCGATTCTATGACGACGTGATGAAAATGGTTTACCTAATAATTTTCCGACGAAGCAAACATTTCTCTCGTTTACCTATGGTCAAAGGTCAAATCTTGTAATATTTTTAAGGCAATTAAATCCAGATTAAGAATTTATGTAAGATCTTCTCTGTCACTAATACAAACCCCCCAAAAAATAAAAATCTGAGTTGTATATATATAAATAGGTTCTTCAATCCTAGCTATTTGCCAGCAGCCTCCATCTGTTTCCTTTGAAAAAGTGTGTAAGACGCTCTACTATTGTAATCTGTATTTCTTCACTTCAAACACTTTATCACACACGGTTGTTAATTAATTTATAGTTTTATAATTTGTAATGTCACATGTTTTTACAAAAACTTTTCCTTTCTTCTCTTCAATTTTTCTTGATTCATCATTCTTTGATTAGGCTATTCATTTTTTGTAAATATTTCTTGTTGGTAATTTACTCTCTTCCACATAAGTAAATCTAACTTTTATGGGTTGGAAATTTTGCCTCAAATTTTTTTTTTCCACAATTTTGTATGCTATAGAATTTACTTGTTAATTTGATCTGGTTCTCTTTTTTGGGTGATTAATTAATAGTGAGATTGTGTTTTAGGGAATTTAACATCCTAGAGATTATGGACAAAGGAAAGAAGCCAATTCAAGAAGAAGAAAATGGTATTTCTTCTGTAAAGAATCATCAACATAATGTTACCTCTTCATCATCACAACCTCCACTGGAGATGCAAACGACAATCGAACAATCAGGTAAAATTAGCCAAGACTTGTATTCAAATAGAATAGAGCTAGCCATGGAAACAATTTTTAAAAATTGACCCAAACTATTATCTTTCGGTTTGATTAAAATGGAGGATTAATACTTTATATAAGGAAAATGATTATTCAGCTTGAATAAGATTAATTTGTAAATATATAAAAAATGATTATTGTACAAATACATCATATGTAAATTAAATTTTTTGGTCCCTTAGGAAGGGCGGACGGTATAGACAAATCTATTTTGTATTGTTAATCACAATTAACATCGATCCCAAAGGATTTTTTAATGTATTTATCCCACGTGTCAAATCAAAAGTCACTTTCTTTTATTGGTGAAAGACACAACGTTTAAACTTAATTACATGGTTATTTTGATGCAAAAAAAAAAAACCAGAACTCACACGGTTATTTATTAGTTTTACAATGGAAGCTGCTTTATATATTATTAACTTTTATAAATCATTTGTGCTTCCAAATAGAATCCATAAATATTACACCCACAAGTTTCTATTTAATTGTTCCTTTTTGGTTAAACAATTTTAATTTTGACTATTAGTTAAAAGAAAAATATGTATAATTAAAATTTCAAAATATATACTTTGAAAACCTGATCTTTCAAAGTTTTTGAGTATTATTTTAAAATTTTATATTGGTTTATATTTTTTTTTAAAAATGATTAAAGTTAAAGTTATTTAACTAAAAAGAGACAATTAAATAAGAATAGAGGGAGTATTATGTTATGTCATCGGATATACACTTGAGATGTAGGAATATATCAATATAGTCCTAGATATAAGTATAGGATTTGGTGTAAAAAAAAAAATACTAATAGCATGTATGACAACTCTCGTAGTTCCGATAAAATTATTCAAACCTTGGTAATGTAATATCATGGATTAGTGTCTTAAAGATATTGCCTCACTTCCCCTATAGATATAGTTGTGGAATGTGGAGTTCATGGTGTAATTTTGAATGAACCATTAACCATATAATATTGATGATGATGAGAATGACCACCGTCTTTTTCTTCCCCCCAAATTCTCACTGATCATGTTGATGATTAATTCAGCGGCAGCAACTGAAAAATGTGGAGCAATTGCATCAACATCAAAAGATCCTGCAAAGACCAGAGAAGCACCGGCGATAGTTGACAAGGCTACGAAGAAACCCAAACGGTTTGAAATTAGGAAACCCATGCTTCCTCAAGAGCTTGAAAACCTTGCAAAAACTGATCCAAAGAAGGCCAAAAGGTATTATTACCATTCACTAATTTATCATGGTTTTTGTTTTCTTTATTAGTTTGCATATTTGCCAGAATTTGTTGAATTGGTGTGAATTAGGATTATCCAAAATCGGAGCTCAGCAAAGAGGTCTAAGGAGAAGAAGAAGCTGTATGAATGCACGCTTAACCATCAATTAGACAAGTTGACATCTATGGCTGCTACTTTATCAACTAAATTGACTTCATTGGAGGTAAATATGCATATCATCAAATCTATAACTTGTTTCTCAACTTTTACTTAATATTTTGTGTTTTTTTTTCTTTCCTCTGAAAATGGGCAGACAGAAAATAAATCTTTGGTTCTCGAAAATTCCAAATTGAAAGATCGTGAACATAAGATTAAGCAAATGATTGACTTGCAACAAGGTACGTAAGAATTAATTTTTGTTTTCAAATATTCTTCTTACCATTACCCTTTTGCTTGTTGTTGAAGTAAAATACATTTTGACAATTTTAAAGTTATATAAGAGCATGCTTATGGATGGTTGAAATCATTGCTTCAAATTGGGGGAGAGTGATGATTGAAATGTGTATTTAATAGCTATAAGTAGTAATAAGCATGCCTTTCCCATGGAGTAAACTTTAAACACATTCTTATGCTTACTTGCTCCCCTGTTTTAACAGCAAAAAATGATGAAATCAGAAAGGAGATTCAGTTCTTTAAATCTTTACAGCCTAGACAAAAGCCTAATGAAGCAGTTGGCAGAAACATGATCAACTTAAATAGTCCTGCACCATCTGTCAACGGCGCCGGGCACCAGGCTGTTGTAGGTCCATCCACAGCTGCTGCTCAACAAGACTTGAACTCTGCTAACATTAACGCCAGGCACCATGCTATAGGTCCATTTATCATTGCCCAACCAGGCTTGAATTTTGTTAATGTTAACGGGCAACTCTATGCTTTAGGTCTAACCATGGCTGCCCATCCAGGCTTGAACTTTCAAACTCAGAGCATACATGTGCGCCAGCAACAAGATCATCTTCAACAACAGCGAGAAAGACAAGATTCCGAACAAGTTCGTCCGGCAACATCAAAATAATTTCTACCATCCAATGAGAAATGGGCGGGTACTGTGGCCTTAGACATGTTTGAGAAAAATCCCATTTCCTTCCGAAGGTCAGAAGATTACTTACGCAATTAGGGATGTCTGGTATCCCTTTGTCAGATTAGTATATTTTGTTGGGAATTCGGACCAGAACTACATGAATTGCCTAGACATTGGTTAAGTTATAATTTTCTTAAGGATTTGTGTGATTGCTTTTATGCAATTAAACAAGATCTATATCTGAAAAGTTTTACTGCATTCTAATGTACATTATCTCCAACAGTTTGGATTGATTCTGAGCTCCCTTAAGGCTCTATTCCAAAATGTTTAACAAAATGTTACAATTTGTAACAAAATTCTATCCAGCCACT